TTTAGTTCTCTGCATTTATTAATGGCGAAAGTAATTTTCTTATATTACTTTCATTAAGTTACTTCTCTACACAAAAATTCGACATCGTTACTGTAACATTCAATAAAGTCTTCTTGCTCACTATTCAAATTTCTATAATCTGATCTCATCATTCCCCAATATGTACTTGATAGTCTAGTCTAGTTGGATCAGGCCCCACATATTCTCTAGGGAATGTACATACTGTCTCATGTTCTTTTCATTTCTCTAACGTCTACTTATCCCTTAAAATTCATGTCTCTACCAATACTTGGAAGGCTGAAGCAGGAGGATCACCTTGATTTGGAGGCCAGCCTAGGCTACACAATGAGTTCAAGGCCAGCCTGAACCACATAGCAAGACTCTGTCTAAATAAAAAAAAAAAAAAAAGCAAGCCTCCATAAACACACCCAACAATTCTCTCTCCCTTTCCTGACTTCTCATAATTGCTGTTTCTAGAAGTGCTGTCACAACTAAATCATAACTAAGTTGTATTTCTCAGTGCAGCTATCTGGCTATTTACTTTTATCTATCCATCCATCCATCCACCCACTCACTCATTTATTTTGAGATGGGGTCTCACTATGCAGTTCAGGCTGGCCGTGAACTCACAGTAATCCTCTTGCCTCAACTTCCCAAGTGCTAGGATTACAGGCATGTGCCACCACATCCAGCAGCTACATATATATATATTTTATCAAAGGGTTTTTACATGCTTGAAGACCATCAGATCATACACTAAATATTGTCATGGCATCTAGCCAAGTGCCAGACACATGGTAATTTTTCAAATACACTTTATTTATTTATGCTCATTTCACAAGTCATATAAAATAACTATTCTAGAAAAAAAATTTTTTTTTACACTTCTGAGGCAGGGTCAAGGTCAGGCTAGCATAAACTTGTGGTGATCCTCCTGCCTCAGCCTACCATTCACAGGTATGCACCATTAAGTCCAGCTACAAAAACTAAGACTAAAGCTGACATACTGCACAAAGCCTAGTGCTCTTAAAATATATACAAATTGAAAAGGTATTTATTACAGACAGGAAGACAATGATTTTGTCATTTTCACTGATAGCAGGACTGTCTTTTTTGTCAAAATTTAAGGCATGGGCTACATATGTAGCCCAGTGGTAGTGTATGTTTGCCTACTATGTATGAGGCATTCCAAAAACAAAACAAAACAAACTGAGACAAAGGGAAGATATTAAAACTCTAGCTATGGCTTGAGAAATTCCTTAAAGACAAATGTCAAATTGCCACTGTTTCCCAAGAGCATCTTAATTATAGGCCTTACCAGGAATGGTGGTGCCTGCCTATAACCCAGCACTTCTGAGCGGCTCAGGCAGGAGAACTGCCCTGAGTGCGGCCAGCCTGGACTACATAGTGAGTTCAACGCAAGCTTGAACTACATACATAGTAAGACCATCTCATAAATTGAATGAATGAATGAATGGTCTTTTATGAGTAATAGAAGAATAGTAAGAAAAACTTATAAGGCAAATTTATTCTACCTCCATGACAACAGAAGATCTTCTCATCCACAATGGCAGCTATAGGCAGACAGTTAAAACAATCAGTGAAGGTCTTCCACAATTTAATATTAAATCTTCGTTTGCCTACAAAAAGAACCGGCAAATAGAATTTACAAATTTAAAATTGTTCTCATTAGCTATTATGAATTACTTCAACTTTCTTTTGTGTGCTTAACTAGCATTTGTTTTCTTTAAGTAAATTAAGTTGTAAGAATTTACTGTATGGACTGGGAATGTAGCTCAGTGCTTGCTTAGCATATTTGTGGCCCTGGATTTGAACCCCAAAAGCACCAAAAAATTTTATTAAAAAAGTGTGGGCATACTAGCTGGCACTTCTAAAGGCAGCACTCAAAAGGCTGAGCCAGGAAGATCACTGAGTTTGAGGCCAGTATGGACTATACAATGAGGATCCTGTTTCAAAAACCAAAAAGGAAATAAACAATCAGCACTTTCAGTAGAGTTACAAAGAGCTCAAAGATTGCGGTATGCGTTTTTTTTTGTTTTTTTTTCCGGTACCGGGAATCGAACTCACGACCTTGTGCTTGCCAGGCAGGTGCTGTGCCACTGAGCTAAATCCCCAGCCCCTGTGGTATGTATTTTATGCAACAAATGCTTCAAGCAATTTTGTCTTTTAAGATCACTATTTTTTAAAATTAATTAATTAATTTTATATTTTTTGGTATGGGGAATCAAACTCAGGACTTTGTACTTGCCAGGCAGGTACTGTGCTGCTGAGCTATATCCCTGGCTTTCTTTTTTATTTTAAAGAGGAAAAAAAATTTCAGAACAAAATAGGAGAGTAACAATGGTTAATACATTGCATATTGTTATCTTTTAGTTACTCAGAGAACAAGATATTGGCATTTAACTGTCCAAATAATATTAGCACAAACCTTTCTTTTCAATGAACTAAGAGAAATTAACAGTGTAACTATCTTGTATGTGTACATGTGTGGATATACATATATATATAAAATATGTTTTTTTTTTACTTTTCCCTCCCTGCTTTTCTTTTCCTCATCCCAGTTTCTCCTTCCTTTGAACAGTTTTTTCTCATTTTAAAGTATCTACTGTACATTTTGGATCTTATTTACTCTTTCAGCTTCTCACACTAGGGAGTTAAGACCACTATTATAAAGCAATCCTGAAATAATCTAATAAGCGATTGTTTTTCCTTCATGTACACTAACTATCTAGCCAAATAAATGAGCAGAACTAAAAGGTGTACCGTTGGAGACTGTCTTTTTGAACTCTAATGCATTTAGTAATGCACTAAAAATTTACTGCCAAGATTTCACTTTTGAGCGATTTACAACTTGGCAGTATAGCAAGTAAAAAGGCACCAAGGCTGCAATTTTCTTGTAGCCTAGCTTAAATAGCTACAACAAAGACAACCTGAAACGTATGTTCACCTTTTTAAGAGTTACTAGGTTTTCCTGATTTGGCATTAAGCTCAACTATACTAAGTCAGGGGATGAATGAAAGATACAAGTACTAATTTCTTATGCCTTTATGACACAGCCTGCCTCTTAATGACTAAGTACAACTCAAAGCACTGTTTACAAGCTGCTCTCCCATGCACTAATTCAGACTGATGTCATTTCTACAATATTCATACTCCTATTTATAACCTTTAAGAATGTACTGTAACTTCAAAAAAATGAATATACTGTAGCTATACTCTGATGTACTGTTAAGAAGATGATTAATTAGTTTCATGTACTTCAACCTACTTTTTCTCTATGGGTCTGATTTAAACAATTCTAACTACATACTACATCATAGCAAGGAGGATGAAGAAAAGAAAAAAACAGTTAAGATGTGTTATGTGCATGTACCAACTCCCGAGCCAAGCATGCACGTCTGTAATCCCAGCACTTGGGAGGCTGAGGCAGGAGGATCACCATGAATTCGAGGCCAACCATGGGCTACATAGTAAGTTCAAGTCCAGCCCTGTCTCAAAAAAACAAATGTACCAATTCCCCATGATAAATGTAACTTATGTACTGTGAAAATGTATTATTAAAAAAATTTTTTAAAAAGCAAACAAAAATACAATATACAATTACATAGAGTAATTCCCATTAGAACATATACTCCATGAGAACAGAAATCACCTGTCTTGAGTACTGCCACATTCCTAGTGTTCAAAAGTGACTGGCATATATACCACATCTTCAAACATGTTTCAAATCTTACATGAACTAAAGACAGACAAGTTTGACTAGGACTCTACCACATGTAAAGATGGACAAAACAAAGGTAGATTCTAAAAGGAAATTCCACAGTAAAAAAGGATAAATTTAATTAGAAAAATCAGTATAAATGATTCTAAATTATAACTAATAGAATAAGCTCATTCCCATATGGGAGCTAACAAAACTAGAAGACCAGTTTAAATGTAGTAGGATAATTTGATCAACTCTGACTTTAAATAGTCTTAGTAGAAAACCAGAAGCCAATCTATAATGACATCTATTTTACTCAGATATTTTTACTAGGCAAACTAATTAAAATATAGCTCTTCAGCCAACTAAGCTGCAGTCAATCTGAAACAAAGGGGGCTGGGGATTTAGCTCAGCGGCACAGCACCTGCCTGGCAAGCAGGAGGTCGTGAGTTCGATTCCCGGTACTGGAAAAAACCAAACCAAAACCAAACCAAACCAAACCAAAACAACCTGAAACAAAAAGATTAAGGAGATCCCAGCAAGCCAAATAGTAATAATGTGTTCCCCACTTTCAAGTTTCTCTTCCCAGACATCTGCCTAGGGGTCATATTTTTTAAAAATTACTGAATGTAAAGGACTCTTTTGTTTTTTTTTCTCCGGTACCGGGAACTGAACTCATGACCTTGTGCTTGCCAGGCAGGCGCTTTGCCGCTGAGCTAAATCCCCAGCCCCGTAAAGGACTCTTTTGAATTAAAAAATTATTAGGTAATGTCTTCATCAATTACTTTTCTAAGTTTTTATTTTTACTTACATTCATCATAGAATCCATAAATGCGATTGATGCTAGCACATTCATGGTTTCCTCTTAAGAGAAAGAAGTTCTCCGGATATTTGATTTTATAAGCCAACAGCAAACAAATGGTTTCCAAAGACTGCTTTCCTCTGTCCACATAATCTCCTAAGAAAAGATAGTTGGCTTCTGGTGGGAAACCTCCATATTCAAATAATCTCAGCAAATCTGTATACTGTCCATGAATATCTCCTAAAATAGAAAAAGGCAGTTTAGAAAAACCAGTTACTGTTGTAAGCAACTTCTGTGAAATGGCTCCTAATGCTTACAAACCATTACACAATCCCCTCCCCTTAAGTGTGGGCCTAGTGACTTTCTTCTAACAAATCAGGCACAACAGAAGGGAGACTGGCTGTACCTTCAAAAATTAGGTTTTAAAAGACCGTGATTTTTGCCTGGCTTACATTCTCACACCTTCTTCCACAGTTGCTGATAATGCCAGCTATCTTACAGAAAAGCCCATGTAGCAAAGAACTGAGGGAGGTTCTGGCCAAGAGTTCATGTGGAACTGTGGTCCTTACTACGTCAGATTGTAAGGAACTGAAACTCATCTGTGGGCCTTCAGATGGCTACACCCCCAGTTCAAACTTTGATTGGACCCAGATCCAGGAGACCCAGCAAAGCTGTGCCCAAATTCCACACAGAAATTATGAAATGGTAAATTAATGTTTTTGTTTAGCATATAAGTTTTGGGCAATTTTTTAATACAACAACCATAATTAATACAGTTACTCTTATGGTAGTTCAACTTAGGTTGTACTCTGTTATGCCAAAAAGCAACGACTAAGAAATATGTGTATAAGTAACTTGTATTATGGTCAAGTTATTTCTATGTCACATTTAACAGAGTTATCTTCGTAAGAGTACAAATGGTCTCTAAGTTAAAATGGCTGGACTTAGGATTTTCAACTTCATGATTGTGAGACAGCCCAATGTAGTCAGCAGGAACTATACTCCGAATTTTGACCTTTTCTTGGGATATCAATATGTGGTACAATACTCGTGTGATACTGGGCATGACGGTAAATGACTGATACAAGTTGTTAAGTTATCCTTTTGGTATGTTAGGTGAATTATGTTTTAAATTATACCTTTAATTTATAATGGGTATACTGGGGCATAACCCATAGTAAGTGAGGGGCATTTGTATTTCAATTTTAAGGTCATCCATAAATCAATATATTCGCATCATTTAAATTCACAAAAAGGTGTGACCATTTCCACGAAATTCTAAACTCCTCTCTCTTACTTAAAGACAATACTTTATGCTACATTACTTAGCATGCAAGAAGTCCTAATCCATTCAACAAACATTATTTATCTTGTAATTGCTGGGTTATGTGCAAAAGCACACTAAATACCCAATTTAATAAAACACAAAGAGAATTAAAAAGTATTTAAGAAGCACACTAAGCACTTGAAAATTACAGTGTGAATGCCAATCACCAAGAAATATGCAGGAAGAATTTCTGCATTATTTAATCACAAGCCAATATGATACACTACATTTTTTCTTGTTATAACAATGTGATGACCACTCAACTTAAGGCCATACATTTTTAAGTTTGGTCAAAATCCATTTTAGGACTTAAATACAATCACCACAAAGTAAAAAGACCAAAGATACTGTCACACTGATTCTTAAAATTTTGTATGTTTTTCTAACAATGCACTGGAATCTCCATTTTTCCATATCCTTAAAGACACTAAATACCAATCTTTGGCTTTTTTGTAATCTAGAGTTAGGAATTTCAACTGATTATTTGTGAAGCTGAGGCCCTTGTGTTTAATGGTTATTTTAATTTCTTCTAAGACCTACCTCTTCTTAGTTTTTGTTCTTGCTGTATTGTCATTTCTAGGAATTATTAATGAACAATCTTTTTATATGTTGTAATACAGCAAATATTTTCTTTTTAATCATTTTTATAAAAGTTTCAAATTTTGTATACTTTTATTTAATAAAACCTATGAATGTTCTGCTATACAAAATTAGAATAAATTTTCTTTAAATCATCCTCATTATAAATATGGGAGGAAAAACATGATTCAAAGAACTGTTTCCAACTTTACCCATTTACCTACCACAAATTTTCAGTGGTGCCTCCAATTCCAAAAGAATAGGCTGGCTGAGAAAGATCTCACGAGACTTAATACATAAGCCCCGAACTTCTGCTTCAGTCATCTGCACAATTTTTCCTGGACGACATCCTCGTACTATAAACAATGAATAAAATGGTCAGGTTTTCTAAAACTTATCCATAAAAATAATTTTTTTTAAAGGAGTCATATCTGCATTTTGAAGGTTAGAAAAGTCAAACAGGTCACAAATTCCCCTACTGGATCCAGCAGTTAATCTATCTTCTATCTCCAACAGTGCTGGTTTCTGATGATGCTCCTCAAGTCTGCTGCCAATGAAATGTAGGGTTATTCTTTGCTCTCTAGGGGCCAACTTGAGGCCTACCAGCCCAAGAGACCTGAAAGGTTTCAGGGACAGCAGCCTTGAGGGTCTGGTCTGCGCTCATCAAAACAAGTCTGGCATCTAGTAGGAAAGCACAACAGCATCACTTTGAATCAGTGGCTATAAAAAACAACTGGTCATGGTGGTGCACACCTGTAACTCCAGCACCCTGGGAGGCTGAGGCGAAAGGATTACAAGTTCCAGTCCTGCCTGGGTAACTTAGTGGACCATATATCAAAACAAACTAACTGGCTGGGTATGTAACTTCAGTGTGAAGGCCCTGGGTTAAATCTCCAGTGTGTATGTGGGGGGTGGTTTAAAAAGTAGCTGCTAGTTAAGTGCTTTAGCTTCATAACCTTCCCTGGAATTTTATTAGCATCTCCAGGAATTTTAGCAACAACCACCTCCATTTGCTGATTTAACCACCCCCTCAACATAATGTGTAACCATTTCCTTCCATCATTATCTCTACTGGCTCATTTCATCTCATCTTTTAATATACTTGAAAGCTGTAAATCTTAACTGACATAGTGCTTGCCTCGCAAGTGTGAGATCCTGCGTTCAATTCCTGGTATCTCCCCCCCCACACACACACACACAAAAAAAAAAATCAACAAAAAAAATTTCACAGAAAATGCATTTAAAAAGAAAACAGGCTCTCTTTCTACAGCTCCCTACTACTTCCCATTTATAATTAAGCACACTGGGGCTGGGGATTTAGCTCAGCGGCACAGCGCCTGCGTGGCAAGTGCAAGGTCGTGAGTTCGATTCCTGGTACTGGGGAAAAAAAAACCAAACCCAAAAAAATTAAGCACACATATTTTTTATTACAAATTGCTACAATTCTTTTGTCAGGTTAATGATATAGGCTTGTTAAAAGTTAGGCCTTTATATACAAAGGCTGCACAACTCTCTCTCTCTCTGTATATACATATATTTATTGTTTTCTGAGGCAGTATTTCACTATGCAGTTGAACAGACTGGCCTTGAACTCACTTTGTAGCCCTTGCTGGTTTCGAACTCATAGCAATCCTCCTGCCTCAGCCTCCCAATTGCATATATTGTATACTGCCCATGAATATCTCCTAAAATACAAAAAGGTGCCACCACACTCAGCTCAATTAATATATTAACATACAAACAACAAGGATATTAAAGAAAAGACAATATACACATAGGCTTTAGCAAATTTGCCAGTCAATAAGACTATCCCTGAAATTCAAACCGACAATCAGCAAAACTAGCTCTCAAAAATTACCTACTTCTGAACCTAAGACCAAAAAGGAAATTTAGCTTAATACCTTCTACTATGCTCCTGAAATACTAGCCAGTCTTAGATTCAGGAACAAGTCTTAATCTTGGGATTAGTATTAAGTGGGTGGAAGTTTAAGGGGGCAAGGGATGTTTTCATCTTGAAGGATTAAAGATCCCTGGTTGCTTTCAGATAACAAATACAAATCTACAAGTTATTATTCATTAAAGTTATTAAACCATTCAACAAGTACTTGAGAGCGACTGTGTATGAGTTGTTAGAGATACAGACAAGATTTATTTGAAATGTTCAAAGCTAGGCACAGTGTCCACTTGTAATCTCAGCTACTTGGGAGGCAGAGGTAGGAAGACTGCAAACTCAAGGCCAGCCTGAGCAATATAGCAAGACTTTATCTCTTAAAAAAAAAATTCACAATTTATACTCTTATTCCATAGTAATGAAGTTTAGTTGTGGCTTGATGGCACTAATTAGTCAAAAGGCTAATGAGGGTCACTTCAATGTGTTGACTTAAATTGACCAAACTGGGCTAGGGATTTAGCTCAGTGGCATAAGTGACTGCCTGGCAAGCACAAGGTCCTGAGTTCAATTCCTAATACCTCTCCCCCAAAACAACCAGATCTAAACTGACCAAATTATAATGGTGAATATTTTACCTTAAATGTCTTATTATTTTCTTCATAAATTATGTGTTTAATTTTTACCAAGTGAATAATTATGTAACTCTAACATTTTTAGAGGTATACAATACTAGTTTAGTTATGCACAAAAACTAAAATTTACCAAATAGAACCTACTGCATAAAAATTACATTCCATTAATTCTAAAATGTACTTTTTCCTCATTAATATCTCTGAAATTGTGCCATACCTTGCAAATGCTTATGATTACAACTGGCAGTGGCCTTTACTCTCTTGGTGGCACATAAAACTGCAAATCCTAATTAATCATACCTTAAGAGTTTGATGAAATCCTTTTAGAGAAGCTAAAGGTTCTTTCAAATGTTAAGCTTTTGGCAAGTGAATAAATATTATAAATGCATAGGCCAAACGTGTAGTGAAATCAAGTAGCCATGTCAGAGTAATTCCAATTGTTTTTCTAATTTAAAAATCATGCTCTCTTATGTACTTCCAGATTTCAAAAAGCACTTCAAATTTCTTGGTTATCTGAAAAAAGAAATCAGCCACCCTTCTGCATATATGAGGCAACTAGACTGCTATCACAATATTCACAAGAGACTTCAACATTTGGATTAGTGAGTCTACACGTAAGTGTCTCATTGGATTAAGAAAATATTATAAATCTGCATACTTCATTAGGTGCAAAGCATTTCACACCAGTCATTTCATTCTGTCCCTTTCATATCCCAGGAATGAGAAAGGGAAGTCATTATCTCTACTGTACAATGAAAGTATGAGATTAAATAATTTTGCTTAAAATTGTAACATCAATTCAAACATTACAAGACTGGCAGAAATGAAAAGCAGCAGAAAGGATTCAGAATCAAAGTCTTCTAAGTCAAAGGAAGTATTCTTTCCACTTTGCCATATAAAACTTTGAGATAAAAAATTTCCTGGAAAAAATTTTAGCCTATAACATACTATTACTAAGCACAAACTTTTGAGGCTTTATGTACAAGCAGTATACTACCATTACATGTATGAATCAAAGAATTTTCAACTACTCTACACTTAAGTAACCACCCAGATTAAGATACAGAATGGTAGTAGAAAGAGAGAGGTACACCTGTAATGGCAGCAGTCTGGGAAGTGCAGGCAGAAGGATCTCAAGCCCACCCTGGGCAATTCAGTGACTTAGGTCCTATCCCAAAATAAGAAAGAAAATGGGCTGGGGATGAAACTCAGGGCAAAGACCCAGGGTTCAATCCTCAGCACTGGAAAAAGAAAAAAGTATAGCATTCTTTGGGGAGGTTATGAGTATTTACACACTCTGCTCTTGGGTATGTCTAATAACATAAGAATAGAACTAAAGAGTCACAGAGAAGACTTAGTTTTATTTAGCACACAGCATGGGTTTTCTAAAGTAGCTACGCTAATTTACACCTTTTAAGTCTTTTGTTCATTCTTTAAAACTAGACTGACTTTTCCCCAACTTTTAAAGCGGTCTTGTTAAACAGGAATTCTTTATTTTACTGAACCTACAATCTTATCTTTGTCTTCTATAAAGATTATTTCATGTTTCCTTTTAGATGCTTATTGTTTTTGTTTTTGTTTTTTTAGGAAATTAACAATGCTTGTTGTATTACATATTGATATCTTCAAAGTGGTTTCTCATGAAAACAGAGACAGGCAATATTGATCAGTCAAGGACTCATTGACAGTTTCTTTCAGCAAAGAAATAGAAGACAGTAGAACAACTATGTTAACTATCCTATATATACATATATACAAAATTTCTCCTTCTTTCCCTTCTCTTTTCCCACATACCAGTTGCCCTTTACCCTTGAGTGTTTTCCTATCATTTTAGATGCTTATTGTTTTAGACCACTTCCTATAATGCCTCTCAAATTAGTCTGCCTCAGGTAAAAAGTCAAGATTATCCTTTTCTCCACTGAACTACTGTGGCAATTTTGTAGAAAAACCATCCAGGCATGGTGGCGCATGCCTGTAATCCCAGCACTCAAGAGGCTGAGGCAGGAGGATCGTTGCGAGTTCGAGACCAGCCTGGGCTGCAAAGTGAGCTCAAGGCCAGCCTGAACTGCATAGCAAGACCCTGTCTCAAAAAGACCAAAAAGAAGGAAAAAAAAGAAAAAAAAAAATCAAGTGACTGCACTCAAATGGATCTGTTTTTGGACACTATGTTTTAGTTTTCTCGTTGCTGAGACAAAATACCCATCACCTAAGGTTAAAAGGGGAAAGGTTAATTTGGTTTACAGTTTGCGGAGGTTCAGTCCATAATTGGCTAGCTCTAAGGCAGAGTGGCTCATGGCAGAGGGGCCTGGGCAGAGAACATTTCATTGCACGCTGAAGACAGCAAAAGCAAACAAGGGCAAGACAAACCTCTTTCTGTCCCTTACATTGTATCCAGGCGACCAGGATTATGGCAGTGCCAAACCAATCAGTGGATTGATTTAGTAGTAATTACACACCCTTAACCCCAGCATCACAACACTACATCAGCCACCTCTGAAAAAACCCATCTATGACCTCATTAGGCTTTGTGAGGATATCTAGACCCAAAGCATGACACTGTAACTGGCTTGTGTCTATCCACCCTGATTCCAAACTTATGGAAGTTTTTATTGGAAGATAGACTGAGTCTAGGAAGAATTGACATCCTGATAATATCAAGCCTTCAAATTCATGGACTTTGTATCTCTTCTTTTACTTTAACTGTCACTTATTTCAGTGCTGTTTTGGAGGGGCCTGCTATTATAAACATGTTTTCTACAGAAATATAACTGATTTGTATATACTGACCCAATACAGTATTCTAACCGTTTGCAGTTTTCTTTGGCAACTATATGATCATATAGTTTATGAAAACAATTTTAATACTTTTCCAATCTTTGAATCTTTTGTTTTTTTCTTTTTGAATCACTGAGGATCATCAGGACAATGCTGAATAAAGTGATGCTTTTTATCCCCCATCTTGTTCTTGAATTGGGAAAAAACATTCAATACTTCACCACTAAGAAAGATACTGTTAGTTTTGTTCATTTCATCATCTTTAGAAAAATTAGTCTCTATTCCTAATTTACTAAGAATTTTTGTCATTATGAGGCATTAAAATTTAGGAAACATTATTTCTTACTTAAAGGGATAATCATATGTCTTCACCCCTCTATTTTATGTGTCTTATCTTGACCTTTCCCTTTCCTTTCTTTTCCTTCTTTCTTTAGGGGAAAGGGAAGAGGGTTGAGGCAGTGGGGATTGAACCTCGGGCCTTCACACTGTGATACATCTTCAGCCCCTTCTTTGAGACAACCTTACACTAAGTTGCTAAATTTGTCCAAGCTGGGCTCCTTACAATGCACTCCTGCCTTGGGCTTCCAGAGTGCTTGGGGATTACATGCATGCAGTAGGAGGCCTGGCTTAACTGATTTCTCAGTGTTGAGGTAAGCCCTGGAGCCCTAGATTCAACAAGTTTATAACTTACTACCAGTATCTTTCTAATATACAGTAGGATTCAATTTAGTAATATTTTGCTCAGGATTTTTGTGGCCATATTCATAAGATATTCATTGGCCAGTCATCTGCCATTTACTCACCAAATTTTGGTTTAAGGGCTGCGCTGGCTTCATAAAACAAGTTGGGAAGTGTTATTTCTTCTTTCATCTCCATAAGATACTCCTTAAGATACTTCTTTTTGCTACGTAGTTCAGGCTGGACTTGAACCTATTATGTAACCCAGGCTGGCCTCCTACTCACAGTGATCCTCTTGCCTCAGCCTCTAGAGTGCTGAGATTACAGGCATGTGCCACCATGCCCAGCATAATTTCTTTATATGTTTTAGGTCATTGGTGAAACCATCCAAACTTGGAATTTTCTTTCCTTTTTTTAAATTTTAAAAATTAAAAAACTGACAAAATAACAATGAAGACAAAATCAGAACAACTCAAAAACAACAAAAATGATACATGACCTTAAAACAAAATGATAGAAATTTACAATGGTTGCTATATGGAATTTTCTTTTTGAAAGGTGTTTCAACACAAATTGACTTTCTTTCACAGATGTAACTATTCAAGAATTTTTCCTGTTTAGCCAAGAAGAATCTATCACCTAGCAAAAAAAAAAATACATATATATCACCTAAATTATTAGCATTATTTTTTTTTCTTTAAAAAATGTTACTTTTCTCTGAACAATTTGAGAACAGATCACATAAACCAAGTCCTTTTACCCCTTCATACACCAGTATGTACTTCCTAAAAATATTTTCCTTTATAGTCACAATACAAGTTATCAGGCCTCAGGAACTTAGCACTGTTATAAATATTTAAAAGAACCACTACAAGTCAATCAACTCTTTGAATCCTGTCCTCTATAAAATTCTTCCTTCTCGTGAAAAATTACATACTGCATATTCCACCTCTTTTAGCCTCCTTTATCTTTACTAATATCAGTGATTTGTTTTTAACTTTTTTGGGTAGTCGTTCTGGGGGTTGGGGATCGAACTTAAAGAGTTTTTCTAATGACCTACCATATGTCCCCAGCCCTTTTATTCTTTTGAGACAATTTCTCACTAAGTTACTAAATTGCTCAAGCTGGTCTTAGACTTGTGATTTTCCTGCTTCATACTCCCAGAAGGCTGGAATTCCCTGTTAGTCTTTCTAGAGGTTTAAAATTTTATCAATATTTCATGATATTATTTTTAAAAATATATACTGTCTTTTCTTTCTTTTCTCTCACTTAGTGGTTGCTCTAAGGATTAGAAATACCTTTTGTATATATTTTAAACCCCATGAGGCAAAATAATTATTTTGGTTTTTTGAGACAGCATCTCCCTGTGTATTTCAGGCTGGCCTTGAATTCACTGTGATCCTCCTCTGAGTGCTGAGATTATAGGCATGTGCCACCATGCCCAGCTCTGAAATTATTATTTGAAAGTCCAAGTTAATTTATATTTGTTGACATTTATCCTTATTGTTGCCAATTTCTTTCTACACTTCTCTACTTAGTGTCCTTTTTTTTTAAATTTTAAAAAATACTAACAACTTTAGCATTAGCATTTTCTAGTGCCAGGGTATTAGCAAATCACATTACCTTAGCATTAGTTTGTATTCTGCATTCACTTGTGGAGGGTATGTGCATTAGATTTAGAACTCTAAATCAGCATCACTGTTTCTTTTACTAACTTTTTTTTTTTTTTGTCTTTTTGAGACAGGGTCTCGCTATGCAATTCAGGCTAGCCTTGAACTCACTTTGTAGCCCAGGCTGGTCTCGAATTTGCAACGATCTGCCTGCCTCAGCCTCCTGAGTGTTGGGATTACAGGCGTGAGCCACAATGCCAGGCTCTTTTAGTGTTTTTAAAAAGATCATTCTATACTTTTCTGTAGTTTCTGGGGATAGACCAGCCATTATTCCTACTACTGTTCTCTAAAGGTAATGACTCTCCTCTAGTAGTTTTTACACTTTTCTCTCTTTTTAGTCAGTTAAGTCTGATTGGCTTCAATATGGTTTCCCTTGTATTTTTCCTGCCTGGAGTTCAGTTTATTCTGTGTTTTCATCTCTTTCTCTGGTTTGGAAATGTACTGTTTCTCACTATTCCCTCTATCCAACTACATATCATATTTCCTCCCTTTCTGAGATTCCTATCATGTATAAGCCTTTCCAGTAGTCCCACATATCTCTCATACTCTCTTCTCTATTTTTTCTTTCTCGGCACCGGATAATTTCTACTCAACTTTCCCTCCATAGTACATTATTCTGCTGTTTTGCTGATAAATCTAACAATTCTTTTTTTTTTTTAGGTGTAGAGTATCCATGTCTCTGATAAAATTCATCTTCCTCATTGTCATGAACATATTAAAGTCCATGCCTGAATAACTAACATGTGAATTGTCTGTGGCTGTTTTTTGATCCCCCCCCTCTAGGTTTTTGGTCAATTCAGTCTTATGAGCATATTCAGTTCTATATTATTTTGCTTTACGAAATATTGGATAATGAATAAAACACTGCAAAAGATCTAGATGGTATCTTTCTCGAAAGAGGGCTGCTTCCTTTTTAGCAGCAGAGGAGCAGTGACTCATTTACAGTTTCCTGAGGCTAGTTTATTTCAGTATTACCCACAATCAGAAAATGGCCATGATGGAGTCTGAATAGAAATCCTGGTGTAATATAATCTATTATTAGAAATTAATACAGAAATCTTGGTGTAATAATAATCTAACTTGGCAGGGCTTGAACTCTGAATTCAGAAGGCACTAAAGACTTCAAGGTCTCTACGTAGTTCATGCCTTTCCTAGATTTAAGTTTCAAACTACTTTTAGACTCCCACCTTTCCTGCCCAGTAAGGTTAGATTGCCACTTTGTGTTTGGAATCTCTGCCCCTGTATCACAATCTGGAATATGCCTCCAGGAAAAAAGAGCCAGGGTGACAAGTGAGCTCACATACTGTATGCTTCCTTTCTGTCAAATGTCAAAAGCTCTCCAGAATTTTCTGGGTTGGTTGCTCTTCAACAATGGACTGGCTGCTCAAGGAAGAATAGAGAGGTACCTAAAATGTGATTATTGGCTATACACTACAAAGTCAGGTAAATGCTCAAAAAATCTGGAGGAATACCTTGCCAAGGACTAGATACCATGGGTCCTAAACTCATTTTACCTTATCAGTCCCAGAACTTTGGTGGAAATACCAAGGTTTCCTAACTCCTACCTACTAAGAGGTAATCTTTCAATACAATCACGTTTACATCAGAAAGGTAAAAAAACTACACTAGGGTTCACAGGTCAAATTTGGCCGGATACAAGTTTTTGTACATAGCCTGTGACCTAAGAATAAGTTTCTACATTTTTCAAATGGTTAAGGAAATATAAACATAATACTCTGTAACACGTACAAATTATAATAAAGTTGACTTTTAAAAAAATATGTAATTCCAACTTTAGTGTCTATAAGTGTAATTACTCTGGTTTGCTTATATACTATCAATAGGCATTTTTATGCTATCATGGCAGAGTTGAGTGGCACTCTTATTGCTTCACATTACTTCTCAGTGTACAAGTTAAAACTTGACAGCACCTTGGATGTTATGCTTACTGTTGTATCACAACATTTCATTTCTTTTTATTACCAGTGCATACTCAAGAAAAGTGGACACTGAATATTATGCTTTTAAGAGAATTATTTTGTTATTTGAACAGTCAGGCACTGTTTATTATGCAACAACACTAAAACTGTGCTAAAAGGAAATAGTATGTGTTGACATTATGAGACTAAGCACTCATCATGACATTCCCAATTCATAGGAAAGCAATGGTCAGGGAAAAAAAAGCCTGTAGCCAAAGCAAGTTCTCAACCTGCACATCTGTTAGCCAAGTGAGATAAATGTCATGTTACCAATAGTGACTTTACAGTATTAAATTGTGTTTGATTGGAAAAACCAAAGAAATATGTCTTGAGACAATAAACTTTAAAGACCACTAGCTTTTCTGTAAGAACAGTGATTGAAGACTTGAAAATATTGGGAACACTGACAATTAAGAAACAAGACGTGAATTTGAATGGCTTTTGTTGGCTCTTGGTATGCTGGCAGATGTTACCAATACTAAGCTGTTCATCTGAGAAGTCAGTGGTGAATTTGAAGTGACTGAAAAGTTAAGTTTTTATGAATAGTGTGTGTGTGGAACAACTACAGGCAAGAATATGTTCAAAGCTGGGAAAAACGTTTTAGTAAACCTACAGTGGAATCTGCTAAGACATGTTACAACTAATAGTGGTAAAAATACACGTTGCAGAAAATAACTTTGTTGAGCAATTTTATAAAATTTATAAAAATGAAAGTTGCTCAAAAGTCTAGTTGCTCAAAAGTGTAGTTATTCTATGGAAAAATATTTTAATCAATCATGTGTAGTAAAACTGGTAGTATCCACGGTTGTCTGCAATGTACTTTAGTGACAAACACCTGTAATCCCAGGACTCTGGCAGGCTAATGCAGGAGAATCTCACACTGGAGTCCAGACTGGGCAACTTAGCAACAGCGAAACCTTGTCTCACTATAAAGAAATACATGAAAGGCCTGGGGAATATAGCTCAGTGTGAAGGTCCTGGGTTCAACTTCCACTATCATACCACCCAGCAGTTCAGTACTTTAGCAATGATAATTTTGTGATTTTTTTTTTTAAACTCAACACCGACAGTTTTGTTTTTTTTTCTTGAATGAGAAGAATCATCCTAATCACTATTATCAAACACAAAACAGTCTTAGATTTGGCTGCAAATGTGTTGTTTTTTAATGAATTCAACCTGAGATTATAGAGGAAAAACTACCTTATTTGCAAATTTCCACTGTTTTAACTCCTTTTAACAACAGCTAGTACTATTTGAGTCACAAGCAAGCTGCTTCTTACACTTCCCATACTGTCAAAATTAAAACAAGTGAGATCTTTATTTCTACACAAATTTGCAGCAGATATATTTTCCAAACTCAAACTGTAGCATTCTTCAGACCTTAATTCCAGTGCAAAAGCAATTTCTGTACATCAATTCACTTAACTGTGCATCTGAAGAGCTTCCACCTAACTCTATTTGGAAGTAATATGCAATTTAATGACACACTAAAAGGTAAATATCAAGAGAATTCCATAAATGCTTCCCAAGTGATGAAAGTGCACAACTAAAATTATACACTCATAGACTGACAGTATTACGGTATTCGGCGGTTCTTATCTGTAAAGACATTTTCCATGATAACATACATAAGATTTCATTACAGATCACCATCAACAAGCGACCACTTGCAGTGAACCTAGTGACACAATCCTGTAATCCCAGCACTCTGGGAGGCTGAGAGAGGAAGATCAAAAATTCCAACCCAGTCTGAGCAATTTACGGAGACCCTGTCTCAAAATTTAAAAAAAGGGTTGGGGATGTAACTAGCTCAGTGTGAAGTCACTAGGTTCATTCTCCAGTACTCCTGTGGGGGACCACCAGGACAGCGCCCATTGAAAAACCACTTGTCTCCATTTTGGCTAACCCTTGCCCTACTTACTAGTATTGATATGTACTGACTAGGATTATACTCTATCCCCTCAAATGGCCTTAAGCAATGGTAGATTAGAATTTACTTACTAGAATTCCAGTAACTTTTTCCTCGGATTACAACCGCTACCCCAAAACCCACCATAAACTGACAACTAACCATCAATCAATTTTGATGACTGAGAACACTAACTCTGAATCTTAATTAAGCAAAATGTCATCCTTCTTCAAAAGAATTCCACTCTTCTAGTGATTACGAAAAATTATTCTCAATCGTTATATTCTACATTTTTTACTTAGGTTAAAAATTTTCCAATGCAGGTTTGTCTTTTAAATTACAAATGATGTACGAAGTCTTTTTGTATTGTACGCACACCAAATTTTATTTTTCATTATCATCTGTACTTTCTCAGCAAATACTTATAACTGCTTTCTATAAAAGACAGCAAAATAAAAAATTATACCACTTATGCCTGTTGGCCACATAAAATCTTAGTAATCTTCATTAACCACTGATATTTTACCTTCCATTTACTCTACCCCTCCCCCATTCATTCAAGGTTACACTCTAATTAATAGTTTATGGTTTCCTACAAATTGGGAGGCAATTTTTCCACATTTAGCACAAAAGTCTAAAAAGAAGTCAAAGTTTTACAATTAGCTAAATGTGGAATTTTGGTTGTATGTGAAAGAATTAGCGAGTTCCCATATCTTCAGCTTATGCTATGTCTGCCTCATAGAAGCTGTGTACAACACCTCAAACAGTCTGTAATATTGTGTTTACACATGAGAAGGCCCATGGTGTGCACACCAGTAAACTAACAGCTGGTACAATAAGAGTTAAGCAGAAAAATGGTAGCTACAAGTAAGGAAAGAACATTTCAGGAACAGAGAAAGGAGCTATGATTCTCTGTGTTAACATCTCCACTGATGGTAAAAAAAGTAATAGTAGGTCAAACCGCTGGCACTTTCACATACACCAAGTTAGAGGCACCAAACTATACTGGTAGTCACTGTGTTGTTTACGGCCATGAACCTGCAGTGAAATACAAAGATTAGAGTTTCAGTGGTGAATGATCAATTTTATTAAATCTTAATCCCTGAATAGACAACTTTTTAATCCATGTCAATTAGAAAGTACTCATAAAGCACTTCTGCTTCATACCATAACACAATGGCTGTCTCATAAAAAAAAATCAGTACTTCACTTGCAACTTGATCTAGCTATTCTTTTCACAAAACACTCTATAGAAACCACTGACAAACTATGACTGCTCAGAGTTAGATATTTAACAGATACTCTTTTGAAAACCAATAAACTGGGCCTATTATTTAAAAAACTGACTGCATTTGTTTCTAGTGGTAAAGTTCAAGCTTTGAAAGTAAAAATTTGGAAAGTTTGTACACAGCACAAGTATGAAAGCTTCTGCATTTCCACAGTTAAAGTCTCTTCTGATGAGATCTTGTCACACTATTTACAAATGGGATTTAAAAAATACCGTATATGATGTGTCAACATCTGGGCATCTACATAATTCAGCTAAAACTATTTCCAAATGACCAATGTGTGTTACACAATCAAGCTTGAGCTCAATAGAAGTTAGATCCCTGGAGTCACAGGAAAAAAAAAAAATTCACTCATAGTATTTTAGATTCTATATTGCAACTACCCTGCAAAAACCACCGCTATGTGACATTTCTTTTGGAGACAGGGTCTTGCTATGTAGTTCAGACTGGCCTTAAATTCACTTTGTAGCCGAGGCTGGCCTCAAACTCATAGTGATCCTCCTGCCTCAGCCTCCTGAGTGTGGGGATTACAGGTACGTGTCACCATGTCTGGCCTTCATTAT